GTCTATTTACTGATGTCTGTATGAGTGGGTACTGCAAATTTCTTGGTTTAATCCATTCGCTGAGAACTTTTCAGCACACCTTTGTATATGTGTGAACAGAGAAACAAAGAGACACAAAAGAATCATACTGTTCATTATATAAGAGAGATTACTTTGCCATAATAAACAGTTGTTTAAACACAGTTCCTTCTGAACTCTTCTATACTTGTTCAGATTATTGTCTCTCATCAAAGAACTTTCTCTATAATTAGGAGTCAGTCAATAAGCAATGTGATATTTAACCTTGAACATGCCGGGTAACTCTTTAAGGTTTATTTTAGGAAACTGTTGTTTTTAGCATTTCAGTGTATCATTCACTCTGTACGTTCAGTCTTTCTGTATCTGTTCAGCTTTTCAAATATTTTCATCTTTATTTGTCCATTGATAAAAAGAAAATCCTGATTTTGTACCACAGTTTACAAGCTGGTTTCACAGGCCATTGATAGGGAATTCAATAACCATTGAAAATGAAATAAAACTTGTAAACCCCTTTCTGGCTAGCTAAAAATGATATAGGCATTTTATTGCATTCAGTTTCCATAGGAACAACCAAAACTAAATACTCATGAGTAAAAATGCATGAACTATATTAGCCTGAGCAGAATCCTATCAGAAGAGAGAAAATATAGAGAGGTAGGTATCTCACAATGTGAATTTAAATTGGAATTATCTTAAAATTGGTAAGATTTAGAAATTGTACAAAGTCAAATCACTTTCATTTCTCTCTTATTCCAAATTTAAGGGTAGAGTTCCACTCAGCTTTTTTCCAAGAATTGCTTCTATGTGGAACAGACTCCCACGTGGATGCTTACTTGAACACTACAATCTTAACCTCTTCAAATCAATGATCAATCATTGTCTTCCTCTTCCTCTTAATCTTCGCTTCCTACCACCTCCTTTTACATTCATTTATCATTAACGATTTAACAGTAATCCTCTACATTGAGTGGCTCTCGAGGCTTTAGTTGGATGAATTCTAGTATTAAAAAAATTCTTTTTGAAATTTATTAATATCTGCTGAGTAAATATCTACCTGTATCTGTCTATATTTCTGAGATGAGGTATTATGTACATTATTTACATTGTTCGGACTACTGTCCTCATCTTTGTTGCCATATTTATCACAATGTTTAGGCCGTTGTACACTCTGGCCTTCTTCAGGTGGTTGGAATGTTGAACTGAACCCTTTATTTTCTCAAGGACATATGGCACAGTGGATAAAGGTGTTGGTTAGATCCAGTGACAGGACCCATAGAATGTGAGTTCAATACCTGGTTAAGGCAGTGGAGAATTTGGAGAGGGGAATTAACAGGAGATAACTGATAATCCATTAAACATGGCACGTGGAATTAGAACAATCTACCCTCAAGAACGAAATAAAGGGTTCAGTTTGACATTCCAACCACCTGAAGAAGGTTGGAGCATATAACAGCCAAAACATTGTAATAAATATGGCAACAAAGATGAGGACAATAGTCCAAATAATGTAAATAGTGTACATAATACCTCATCTCAGAAATATAGACAGATACAAATATACATATTCATACATATAGATACATACACCATCACATATCACGAAACAAATGGGAAGGAATATTCACAATGACAGATTTTGCAAGGGTTATCTTTTTTGTATGCAGGTGACTTTAACTCTAGGTCAGTTCAAAGATAGCTCAGGATTTCAGTTCTTTAATTTGAATATCCACATTTTGATGCAGGTGGGCCAGAAACATATATATGATAAGAATATAGTTTTAATACGTGCAATATTTATGGGTGAAAGTGCTCAATATCAGACATAGAGCGTATGTAAATATAAAAGTGGACACTGAGGTTAATACTGAGTGGTGACAGTTTATTTCATGCTTAAATGTAATTGTAACACCATGTTTGCTGTGTGTTGGCTCAGCTGCTTATGCTATTCAATGGTACATTATGGGTAGCAATGTCCTCACTGAAATTGAGTAGGTGGTAAAGGTTATATTTCATATTGTTCTAAAGTCTATTGAGTAGAAATAATTATGGGTCCGATATAGGCCTCTACAGTGACAATTGTCTTATACTCCTAAGAAACTGTAACAGACAAAAACCAGAAAATTATTCGCAAACTCTTTCAAAAATATATGACTTGATGTAGACATAAAAACAAACCTAAAAGAAGTAGATTTCTTAGATGTAACATTCAGTCTAAGAAAAGTTACATATTAACCCAACGACAAACTAGATTACATGCACATATCTTCCACCCACCCACCAACAATAATCAAGCAGATACTACAATCAATTAAACCATTGGGTTATCTGACAATTCTTTCATTGAAACTATCTTCAACAAAGCCAGAAAAGATTATGAAATAGTCCCAAAAGATAGTGGATTTTCAGCACTCTTGTACGCATCACAAAATACAAAAAACAAATAAACATAAAAAGAACAACATATGGTTTAACCCATCGTACAACAAAATGTAGGAAAAATATTCATTAAACTCATACACCCTCCCCAATAAAACACTCTCTGCAAGATATTCAACAGAAACACAGTAAAAATCATCTACAGTTGCACCAAGAGCATCACACAAGTAATAAAAAAGTCACAACAGTAAAATAATCAACTGCCCCATAACAAACAGTAAATATGCAAATAGCATAAGCCTTTTTGAACATATATGGGAAATTAAAAACAAAATCCAAAATACACCAAAAATATAATGGAAAATAAGGAAATCAGCATCAGCCTACAACAATAAGTCCAAACACTGTAAACTCAAATAGCTGTAATTACCTTCCCAGACAAACACAAATTACTAAATAAACGATCAGAAATCATCTCAAAATGCTGACATGAAAACAATTTTTTACTATGTTACTTCGAAATTGAAAACTAAAAACAAATACCTTGTAAAATAGCACCATGAAAAATGCAAATATATGCACTATATACAATGTAGATAATTGTAACATCCTTTAGACAAATATATGCACAATATACAATGCAATGTAACATACTTTAGACAACTAAACACAAAAGATAGCTAACACCCAAAAGGAAAAAAATAAAAAACAAATAAATAAAAAATTAAAATAAATAAACAAAATTAAGTAAATAATAAACAAATTCACAAAGTAATAATAATAATAATCAATAACAAATAATTAATGAATAAATATGGAGTCATTAAGTAATAATAAATAATGAGTTAAAAGTTAACAAACAACACTGTACAACAGTTGCAAATAACCGCATTCAGGTCCACAATTATTTCTACTCAATAGCTTTCAGAATAACTTAAAATATAATCATTACCACCTATCCAATAACCATTAGGATAATGCAAAAATCCCAAATACATCATTGACCAATTTAAGCTTGAAACAGACTGTCGCCACTCGATGTTGACCTCAGTTTCCACTTCAATGCATGCACATGTGTGTGTGTGTATGTGAATATATATATATATATATATATAGTAGGTAGACCATAAAGTCTAGGTATTTTATCACCCTAAAATACCCAGACTATATGGTTTACCTAAAACATACAAAACAGACATTCTAATGCATCCCATTATATATATAATATATAAGAAATCCATGGTTAAGTAATCCAAGTAGATCCTATTAATATAAAATATGAAAACTGATCCACAATAGTGAGCTCAGTGTAATTTTTATTGTAGTGCATAAAAGTGAATTACATTTAATGAGATCCAAACAGTTTACCTCATTCAGATGATCATTACATCCATGGGAAAAAATTTTCCCTGGACGTATCAATGCAAATACATTTACTAAAAGGTTTGGATCTCATTAATATATGTATATATACATATATTTTGAATAACTGAATATGCATATATATATATATATATATATATATATATATATAAAAGTGAACATTGAAATCAACAGTTAGAGGCGACAGGCTGTTTCATGCTAAACAAATCCTCAGGCCACCTGAATATGCCTCATATATATATATATATATATATAATATATATATATATATATATATATATATATATATATATATATATATATAATATATATATATATATAATATATATATATATATATATATATATATATAATATATATATATATAATATATATATAATGGCCTGAATATTGCGCTCAATCAGACTGTGCTTTTTTATTTTATTTATTTATTTTTTGTTTTTTTATTTTTTTGTAATATCCATTTGAGGATGCAAGTTCTTAAATTACAATTGTTTTATTTATAGATCGTTATTTTTTGTTGTATGAGGATTGCTTTCAGGGTGAGAAGTCTGTTTTATTATAATTTAAGAATCTGCATTCTCAAATGTAAATGAAAAAAATATATGCGCAAAAAAAAAAAATAAAAGAAACAAGCACAACACAAGTCACATCTTGCCAGTGTCACAACACTCTTTGCCTACATCACCACAACTACCAGTATTACAAAACTTACAATTTGTCTCTACCTACCCTCATGATGACTTACAAAAGTTCAAAGATTGGACGATATTTCTTCCAAATTGAACTTTGGACAATTTCTCATGGAATTTCCTCCTTATCTGAGAAGGATTATTTGTAATCTGGAAAAGTTGATCAATAAAATTAATCGACACAAAATGTCTGTTGTCTTAATAATAATAATAATATATATATATATATATATATATATATATATATATATATACACACATGTAATAATCTGTTGGTATATAAGCTAAGTGAATCTTAATAATATAAAATATCAAAACTGATCCACAAAGAGAGCTCAATGTATTTATTATAAACAGAACATATATAAATATATTACATAGAATAGAAAATAAAAATTACCCTTCTTACATATATATATATATATATATATATATATATATATATATATATACACATCATTTTATATATGTGCATTCCATTTTGCTGATTACTAAAACTTATTTTTTCCTTTTTATTTCTTCTACTGTCAGATAATGAACACCAAAAAATGGCTAGGATTAAAGTCGTCTGACAAAAGCTTTCGTCAACAATTGGATGGAATCTTTCACCATGAAAAGAAGCAGAAAAAACAAAAAGTAAGTCTTGTGTTTCTTTTTAATTGTATTTTGAAGAAATCTGTCTCTTATAAATGGACTAGCCAAATTATCTGCACCTTTCTGCGTGTTGCACATTTGTTTTTGTAAAAAAATAATAATTGATTTTAAATCATTGTTATAATTTGTGAAGAAAAATGATGCATTTCAATATTATTCAATGATTTTGCCAATGTGACCTCCATCTTCAGGCTTTCTCCTTCTATATTTTCCCTTATTTAAATTTAATTTAGATCAAAGGGAGAAAAAAGTTCCAGTGGGGGGGGGTGCAAAAACAGTTTGATCTGACCCCTTTGATATGTATTTGATGTAATACTTGATTGAATGAATTGATGAGATTTCAACATTGATATGACAATTGAACTGTTGCAACAAATATGTATTACAATGCACTACCCACTGATTGGTGATTTCTTGCTCAACCTGACGTCCATATTGTCTCTTTTTGATCTTGTCGGTGTGACCTCTATCTTCTGGCTTTCTTCTTCTATATTTTGAATATTTTCTATTTCTGTATTCATATTTAAATTCAATTTAAATCAAAAGGAAAAATATTTTCAGTGGGGGTTTGTGCTCCTGGGACCCCTTTGATTAAAATGAAATATACTTATCCAAGTACCCTGGGTAATGTAGTTTCAGAATATATATGGTTATGGGGGAGGTCTATCTCCAAAACCCTAGGAGGAGCTTGATAACAAACAGAAAGAAGCTACAATTTTATGTATGTATATATATATATATATATCGATAGATGTAAACATCTTTTTATCTATTTTTATCTATTAACCAGTTTTCACATTATTCCTTATTTATTTAACTATCACTCATTTTTTCTATTTTTGTTTTCTGTTATGTTTTTGTCTGATTGTGAAAAGTGTCTTTAGTTTAATGGGAAAATGAATTTAGAATAAAAGCATTTAAAATAATCATCTGTACCTGTCTGTCTGTAACTCTACAGTGAGTGCTGAAGAATTGCCGGCCTGACTCCACCTCATGATATCTGACCAAATGACTAAAAGTCAGAATTTCTTTTGGAAGTCATTCTTGGATAGGCCAAGAACTTTTCAGCACTGCCTCCTAAAACGTAAAACCATAATCTTCCTTGATTCTCACTGGTCTGTTGAGCTGCTATAGCCCGCAGGAATCACTTTTTCTAGCTGTACCAGCATGATAGTTCAGACCACAACAGGCATCACTTTGTGTCTGTTCATAGTAATTGGGAACGTATCCTCAAAGAGGCTAAGTCTTTGTTTGCTGATAGAATGAGGCACTATACAGCTTCTAAAAATTTGGGTCTTGGGATTAAATATTGCTCTGTAATAGTATATTAAATAAAAGTGTCTGTCTATATCTCTGAGATGAGGTATTATGATTACTTGCATTATTTACATTATTCTGACTGTTATTCTTATCTTCATTGCCATATTCACAACGTTTCAGCCATTGTACACTCCAGCCTTCTTCAGGTGATTGGAATTTCGAACTGAACTCTTTATTTCATCCACCAGGGTAGCTTGTTCTAGTTCCACATGCCATGCATCTTCTGGATGTCTCAGTTATTTCCCTTTAACTCAAATTTCCAAGTTTTGGCTCACCATGGCTGTGGCCTGGTACTGAACTCACAACTTTTTAGGCTTACTCACTGGATCTAACCACTGTCTTTATCCTCAAGGACACATGGCCCAGTGGATAAAGATGTTGGTTAGATGCAGTGACTAGAGTTGTGAGTTCAATACCAGGCCACAACCAAAACTTGGAGAGTTGAGCTAAAGGGAAATAACTGAGACATCTGGAAGAAGTATGTCATGTGGAACTAAATCAACCCTGGTAGATGAAATCAAGGGTTTGGTTCAAAATTCCAATCACCTGAAGAAGGCTGAAGCGTACAATGGCTGAAACGTTGTGAATATGGCAATGAAGATAACAGTTCAAATAATGTAAATAATGCAAGTAAATAAAAGTAAGTCTTAGTGGGAATTAATGAAAGAAAAGGAAAATCTAGAATTTGGGAAAATATTTTCAAAATTGATTAGAAGTATGTGCACAGCTTTTTTTCATATATATCACCGTGATAAAATGTGAAGATATTTATTTGGTGCTGCCTAAATCATATTTACCTGCAATAGGCATAAATATTGCTACCTTCTTAAAATATATTATCAGGGTAGGAAATTAAATTTGCCTTATTTTCAGTCCATGAAATATCTTAGCAGTCACTCTCGGAAATTTATTTTATGAGATTTTCCATTATATGCTTTCAAGTACATATTCCTGTTCAGTAGAGATGAAAAATGGATTTTGTCAATTAATTTTGTGGAACAAAAATAGTCTGATATCAAGTAGTCTTCATTTTTTTTATTTTTTTTTTTTACCTATACTGCTTAAAGAAGAAAGTTGAAAGGTTATCCAAATCTGATATTTAATCATGTTTATACAAATATGAGGTTGGGACAAAATTGTTTTTTTTTTTTTTTTTTTTTCCTCAACATCAGTGTGATGTTTTTTTTTTTTATACACAAATCTACAAATCAATTTAACGATCTAAAGTGCATCTCCACTTTCAGGTGTTGCTTGGAATTCTTATTATTTATATTTTTTTACTTTTTCTACAATATTGAAATAAAGATGATGCCCTAGAACTTTTTGTGTGATTCTGCTCCATATTTTAAAAATTATCTATTGCACTGGTAAAGCCCGCCACAAGATCAACAGTGATTGGGGGGTTGTGGTGGGGTCTGATTTGAAACAGATTCTGTATTGTTGATTCCCAAAATTCCCTTTTGGTATATCAGATTGAAAAACAAAGATCACTGAAGTTAAGCAATATCAAATCTGGTAAGTAACTAGATGGGTGACCACTTGTGAATACCAGGTGCTGTAAGCTTGGATGTGCAGGTAGTGTAGTGGATAATGGCTCAGAATTAGAAATCTGAGAGTTCCAATTCCAGTCAGATTCACTTACGTGCTAGTAGCCTTGGGAAAAGTATGAATCCACCTATTCTCAGACTTACAGCCATATCACATTGAAATACCATATGATTATCAAAGTTAAGCAACACTGAGCCTAGTCAGTAGCTAGATGGGTGACTGCTTGAGAATACCAGGTGCTGTAAGCTTGGGTGTGTGGTTGGTGTAGATAATGGCTCAGAATTGTTAATGGGAGAGCAGAGTTCCAATTCTAGTTGGGTTCATTATATTCACTTATGCACTAATACCCTTGCGAAAAGTATGAATCCACCTCTTGTATCAGTAAATCATTATTACCCCACCCAAAAAAATGAAATTTTACAATTTAAAAATATTTTCTGGCTTTAAAGAACCTGCAAATGGTTGATAAGTTGTAGAAAATGAATGAATCAATCAATCACCTATTCTCCCCTCAACTGTGGGTTAATTAGTAGAATTGTATCAATAAATCATTACTGTATTAAAAAAATTCTTATAATCTAAAAAATATATTATAGGTTCTAAATAACATGTAAAAGGTTGATAAGCCATAAAAAAAAAACAGATCAATCAATCGATCACTTTTGGCGATCTCGATTTCCATGATGAGCCTGGTGAAACTGCATGTTGTCAATTAACAATGAAGAATTAACGATCATTTCTTTGAATCTGTTTTAATCAAAGACAACTGAATTCTCTCATCTGCCTTAGCATTCAGTCTTTTATGATGATCAAAATAAATTTAAATGAAAATATGCTTTACTAACTATATATTTACTATAATACCATCATAAAAACTGGCACAGAAGGTGGGGGTTAGTGTACAAATTTGAAATAAGGTTCAAATTCTAGTTGACACCATTGCATTCACATTTGTACAAATACACTTAGAAAGGCATGAATCTATCTCTCCCTGTAACTAGGAGTTAATAACAGAGTTGTCTGGGCTCTCTAGCTTTGGATGGCAACTAGTCTAAAAGAAGAAAAAACTCTGAATTCCAAACCAACCTGAAAAAGTATGGCCTCTGTCAGGTTATAATACCTTAGACACACCTCTGTTGCTTTAGCTCTTTAGTGTATATGGTGCACCTGTGGTCCTCGTGGGTTACAGGATTTGTAACATGATGTGTAATAAAAATAACTTCCTGGAATGAAGTTAATTTTTCAAATTATTTTTTCACTTCATCTTTTTCAAAGTGATTTTCTTTTCAAAAACCTTTTACATGGGTTTTGCATGCCACCAGACTTCTACAGACCAAATTTTGTAAAGTGTTGATTTAACTCTTCTTTGCAGGGAGGGACGTAACAACTTTCTGACAAATTGAAAAGAAAGTACAGAGGCCAAGGGAAAATGTTTAATTAAATAAATAACTTTTGTCTTCTGAATATTTTTCAATTGGTCTTGTTTAAATAAATTGGTGATTTCCTAGTGAACAGCTTTCTACATTCTATTTTCATAATTTATTCTTAAATACCGTTCTCATTCTTTTTCAGAATAAAAAGAAATCAGACAATGAATCTTCACCTGAGCAAGATGATGACCAGAAAGGTGTTAGCAACCGACACCCAGAATTTGGTAAAGAGAACACGATGGTTCGCATGCCTTCCTCCAAGAAGACTCATCCTTTTATATCCCGTTCCATCTCTTGTGATGATCATTCTCCCACCAACAACCGGAAAAACATTAGCCAGCAACAAATAGAAATCAACAACCATGCTAACCTTCTCCGAAGGACTTGTCGGTTCCTATCCGATTCATCAGCTACATTTCACACTAGTTCGTCAGCCTCTCAACAATCCAAGGCATACTTTGGTGAAAGCAATTCAAAACCTTCCATGTTGACTACAAAACGGCTTGCCAGGAGTCAATACAATCTCACTCAGAATTCAGATTATGTGAACCGCTCCCAAAGTTTGGGTGACCTAACTGGTGATCTTGGCTTTGCTTTACCAAGAGGTTCTCAACAATCCCTAAACACATATAATTCTTCGACATCGAATATTTCTTCAGGTTCCTCAACTAAGACCCTCACAAATGGATCAAGTAGAGCAACCCTACGCCAATCAGCATCTAGGACCGCTGGCGGTCTTTACACGCCCCGATATGAGAAATCTCGACTTAACCCAGATAGACACTCAAAAAGCTTTGATTTGGTCACAAGCTCCCACCCACCTCATCCGAAGATTTCGTCCCGCCAATTATCGCAGCCAGAATCATACCAGAGTAGTTCCCATGTTAATCAGAATGGATCTCAAATTTCTCTCCATACAGGGCATGTAGGACACAAAATGTCATGGTCTCAGCCACATTTGCAACAACAAGAACATTATTTGTTGCAAGCACCCAAAAGACAGGCTGTGCAACATGCGGCACCCAGCACCCAACACCAACAGCAGAAAACAGCTGCCATGACAGCATCAAAAGTCTCAAAGCCAGTTGGGGTGAATATTTCGAATTCAAATATGGATGCACAGCCCCATCAACAGCAACAGACTCACTCTCGTCTAAGCATGTCTGCGAAAAACAGCCGACCAAAACCAGTCTGCGAGAGTAATGTTGTTGATCAGCACCGTAAGTTTGGGAGCACGGACTGCATTAATAAGCTGAAACCTCGACGGAGCCTGCCTCGTGTGCCAAGCGAAAACATCGATGAGAAACGTCGCAAATTTACTGAATTAATGAAGCAGAGAATTCTGCTTTGCAGCACGGCCAGTTCAAACAACAGCGGTAATGCTGATACACCCCTTGATTATGAGGTCTCATCTCTGCTTTCTCTCAGCGAGTTAGATGCCAACGACAACAGTTCTGACAGCTTGAAATTTAAGCCCATTGAAAGTGCAGCCGATGTGTGGAAGTTTCAGAGCTTACAGGACCTGACGTGTCGTGATGATCAACAAGAGAAAGGTACCGGTGAATGGAAACAGATAATTCCTGTTATTTGCAATGAAAGCAACACCTGTAGTACACACATAAACCGAAGATCGCATAGCAGTACGATGGATTCTGGTTATAGCACTATTGACACCGAGGTAGAACTTTATATGCCACCAACCAGGTTTAAGCCGGCCCTCAACCAAAATAGATCAGAGACTGATAAGAAATTATGTAAAAGTCGGGAATTTGGATCTGTCGACTGTCTACGTGTGAATACTCTTGGACGGGTAAAAGGTTACCATTACCCAAATTCTGGCACTGTTAAGGTGAAGCAAGTTCAGGAATATTCAACCCTCACATCCGCCCAGACAGGGACCTCCCTGCGTAATGTTAGCCGCTGGGAAACCAAAAGCCTCTCTACACAGAATCTGCACTCAAGGTCTTCCAGGAAGGTCGAGGGTTCACTTCAGGCACAAAAGTCTTTCCATTCAAGTAGTAAGCTAAATAATAATAGTGACGATATACTTGGACATGGTGGCAGTCTTTCTGCAAAAATGATATCAAATCCCAATAATTCAGGAAATTCCAATTCAATGTCCCCAACATCCGAACCTTTAAATAATGCCACCTTGCACCAACTTTTACAGCTTTACACTCTCTATCCCACCGAATTGGGTTCTGCCAATCTCAAATCATGCCTTAATGATTATATTATTCTTGAAAAGAAAATTGTACAGCTGCCAGTGATGTCAGGAGGTGGGGTCAGCAGTGGTAGTTGTGGCAACTTGATTTCTGGTGCAGGGAACAAGAGTGTGCCCCAAGGGAAGTACACCAAACTAGGAGGTCCTGGCAGTGCATTCCGTCCAGTACGGTCTGGGTCAGGTTTAGTTCATATATGCCAAGTGTCCATGACAGGGATTGTGTTTAAGTCGAGCCGCCTTTCTCCCCCACCTATTGCATTGTCTGCTATTGAAGATGGAGACCTTGTAGTGGAGGTAAGTTCTGTCTTTTCTATTTACAAATTTATATGTAAGAATTAAACTAAAATCAAAATCCACATTTAGTTGTATTGAAATAGAATTTAGCACAACACTGTCCATGATGTAGACTTTAAAAAAATTAAAGAAACACTAAAAGATTTCATAATGGAATTTAAAATATATATAAGTAGGGTACCTGATTTTTTGTTTCAAATTTTCCTTGATTCCATTTACACTTTTGGTAAATTCTATTTTTACTTTTGAGAAATTTCATTTTTTCCATTTTATAAGAAAATTGCAATGCTATAATTATTATTAAAACTGAAAACAAAAACATAATTCAAGGTTTTATTGCATTTAAAGAAATAGCAAATATCTACAAATCTTTTTTTAAATGTTAAAATCCAAGTCCAAAAATAAATTATATGTAAAAAAAAAAAAATGTAAATGACTAGACAATAAAACTTTGAGACAGAACTTTTAATCAGAGCCTCTTTCATTAAAAACACATTCTTGTTGTTTTTTTAAGTAAAAGGATTTAGATTCATTTATAATTATTGATTCATAATATAAAAATCACATTTAATGTATCAACCGCGAATAACTTGAATCTCAATAATAGATATCTGAATAAAGTCAAACATTTTGACTAAAATTTTACAAAACAGTAATTAAAACATAATAACTGAATCTTTGTAACAAAATATCAAAAAACAAATTAGACATATTAATTCAAAATTTAAATAAAACAGCTTATCCCAAGTTAAAATACTGCTCAAATTTAAAATTTTTAATTTCTTAATTTGGGAAATATCTACCCTTCAAATCTCTTCTTTAAATCTCCATTGTAATACAACATTGTGAGTTTCTTGGTGTTCTCAGGGGTAAGACTTTCACGTTGTTTATTGATTAAATGTTTATACTGAGAAAATGAACATTAAGTATCTATGCTGGTAACAGGCATCCATAAACCTTATTGGCAATCTGTTCCAGAAGAGGAAATCTGCTCTTATTTGCATTCCAAAATTTAAATTTCTTTTACAATGGTGAAGCACTGAAGATTATCCATTTATTAATCCTGGAGAATCACTATGTGATGGTAAGTCAGTTCAGCATAGAATAGTGTTTTTGGAAAAAATATTTTTCTTTATTTCTAAATTGTATGGTAGGCAAGTGTTAGCATTTACGGTTCTTTCATATTCATAACACAAGGTTACAAGTTGTTTAGAATCTTTTACTTGCAAATTATGTGAGGCCTTAAAGGAAATGTGTTTGTTAAACTTATTGGTTTGATTTTCATCTCTCTCCCTTTCCAATTTCGATATTAACTAGTGTCTATCTTCCCCCTTTCCACTTTAGCAATGGATCTCGGTGGCCACAATTGAGCCGTGACCTGACATTCATCCCATTTGCTACATAGATTTTCTTAGAAAAGTTTTAAAATATTTACAAATAGATTAGCCAACATATTCTCAGAAACCAGTTTTCTTTTTTTTTTTTTTTTTTTATGTAAACATTTTTGTTTTTAATTCTTTTTCGGGTCTTAAAAGGAAAAATAAATAACTACAAAATAAGTAAAATACAAATATTTGTAAAAACAAATTTTAAGGCAATAACTACATTATGTTATTGTTATATCTATTAAAATATTTAACAAAATCAGAGAGACAGTTATTAAGTTTTGAAAGAATTTAAAAAATCAAATAATTAATTTGCTATTTATTATTGAAAATTACATTAAAAACCAGATTCCATTTAAGATTAACGATTCCATGATTTTGAAAAATTTGTTTCCCTATATAAGTTTCAAGGTACTGTGGTTAAGTTTTTATCCAATTTTTTTTTTATAAGTTTCTTCTTTCTTTTCTGGACATAAATTATGTAAAAATTATCCAAATATTTTGGTTGTCCAACCACTTTTGACTATACTTTTAGCCATTATCAAGAAAGATTTTATTCTTACTTTTAACTGAATGTATGGATTGTTTCATGTATATATTTAGAGTTATAGAAATGTTTTATTTTCCAAACATGGTCAGCACATAGTGACCGTGTTCATTGTTGATATTATTGAGTGTTGACTTTTTCTTTTTTATTAATAATGCTTCCATTATTTTTAAATTTTTTTTACTTGTGGATGAAGAAAATGAAAATGAAAAAAAAAAGAAAATTATAAGAACTCAAGAGAAATTGAATAAAAAAAACTGAATTGTTATTACAATGGCTATAAATTAACTAAATTCAAGAATAATTTCCAGTCTAATGGTTCACCAATTTCCAAATAGCAAGTTGAATGTATGAATACAGTTATGTAAAATAAAGTTTCCACACATTAAATATATTTCAATTTACACAAGATTAAACATACAATTAATATAGTTGTTTTAAAGTCAATGATCACATATAAATATAAATCAATACATACACAGGTTCTTGATAAAGTTTTTATCACTAGTTGTCATGTCTCATATTAATGCATTGTACATCCTCCTTGAAAGTTAACACACAGAATCTGTAGTCCCCATTATGCATGTTATTAATGTAGATAGCAAAAAAGGTAGCTTGATTGGTGCCCAATTTTTATCAAACATACTAGGAAAAGATCCGACAGACTCTAGAAAGATGAAATAGGTGTTTGCTGGAATAAAGGACAATAAAAAATAACATTGTGGATGGATTTGGGAAAAGCCTTTGTCCAACAATTAATTTTGGCTTATGATGATAATGATGCTTATAAGAATCAAGGGATACATGGTCTAGTGGATAAAAGTGTTGGTTCAACTAATCCAGTGACTTAACTCAAATAGTTGTGAGTTCAGTACCTGGCTACAGCAGAGGTGAACAAAAAAAAAAAAAAATTGAGATTTGAGTTACTATAGAGAAATAATAGCTAGAAAGGGCATGGCATGTGGAACTAGAACAATCAGCTCAGTTTGAAAATTCGACCACGACTTGAAGAAGGCTGGAGCATACAATGGCCGAAACATCATGAATATAACAATAAAGATGAGGACAATAGTCCGAACAATGTAAGTAGTGTAAATAGTTATAATACCTCATCTCGGAAAGAAGAATCAAATTTTTGTATGTTCATGTCTTTGTTACTATATGAGAGCAAAATTGGCCCATTGTAGTGCAATCTTTGTTAGCACAATACCATTTAAATGCTCTAACTTGAAAAACAACACAATTTCCAATCCAAAATTAAGTATTCATTAAGTATAAAGTGACAGACTATTAACTTGTAACTACTGATCGATTTCTGTTAATGCACTTTCTCTGTCACTCATAGTGACATACCAGTGACAATAATTTAATAAGAGCCTCTATTATAAAAGAGGAGCTGATTATCTGTCCATCACACACTGTCTGAATATGACTTTCCACATAATGTATAGTGAATATGTGTCTGTCTGTATTGTCCATGAGTGACATGTGTTATACCATTTAATGTACACATAAACACACATCCATGCACACACAATTTAACTGTGTTTTAAAAAAGACATTGGAATAATACATTTCTCTCCCACTCAGTCTGAACAACCCCTACTCTAGGCTGAGTAATAAAATCATAAATTTGGAAAAAAGTTAATTTTTTAAACCCTAAGTAATTATCAGATTTTATTGAACTTTTTTTGAAATTATTTGGTAATAAATAGAATTATTTTTTAAAAGCTTTTTTTTATTTTTGTATAAATATTTTTAAGTCTATCATTGAATTAAAATATATATGTACATACACAAATGTGCATAGACATATAGTTTGAATAAAACTGAAATAGATAATCTCTGCCATGAGAGCAAATTTGCTTTTCTGTTTGACAATCCTGGGTAACAGGAAAAGTGAGTAAACTCGAATATGCAGCTCTTTGAAGTTGGGCTTTTTTTTTTATGACACTTTCTATATTTAAACTTAATATATTTTCTAATAAATGTAAGATTTTAAATGGACAAACAATTCAGATTTGGAATTTATCATCTTACCATTAGGGAAGTGATGGGTACCAAATTAGTAAAATAATAATTACTGCTACTTAGAATTTGTATTTGCATAAAATCTATAAACAGGAAGAATTTGCCAAAGACAACATTTCAGCAAAGGGGTAATGCAAAATTCTTGGCCAAACCCACTTTCCAAAATCAGACCAAAATTAGAATTTTGGGCAAGTACATCTTATAGCAATGATGTCATCAATGTGTTTAATGTTTTTATAGAAAGGTTTTTTTTTTTTAGCCTCATAATAACAATAATGACCTACTAGGAGTATTGAATGTTCAGCATGTGATGTTTTATGAAATCAAACATGTGCATGGTAGGGGAAAATGTTCTGTATTTTCATAACAGCATTTGACCTTCACATTTATCTTCTTTTATAACAGAAATGATGAGGCTGTTTTCAAATTTGTAGCCATGAATATTAACCTTTTCAGCCAATGTGGAAACAACAGACGTGTTCTGTTAAAATCATACAATTTATGATATTTGAGCACTCTTAAAAATATAGTCTGGTATAGGGCCACAACAACAGGGCTCCAATGAGGAACTCACTATATTAGTTGTGATTTGCAAGATACAGATAGCTTGTTAATCATGAATCTCTAACAAACACTTAGCAATCCATATTTGATTTATCAATATGGAAGTCACAGCTGTTTGAGATTTCCTATAGCCTCACTGAACTTAAAGTCAATTCAGGTTTCCTATGGTAAAAATTTTCTATCCCAAGTAAAAATCATCACAAAAATGGCAAAAGTCATTTTGTCTCAGCTTATTTTCTCTCAAAAAATGGATTTTCATACTTTTATAGGAGTAAAATATTGAAAAATGACTGTTTTATCATCATCTAAACAAATATCAAGGAAACTTTTGATCTGAACCCCCATGAAACTAGGTATTTTCATTTAAAAGTAAAATTGGCTGGTGTAAATGACTCAAATTTTTTTCAGGGGGTAAAATGTGAAAAAATAGTGAAAATTTTTCATTTTTTCTAGTTCTAAAAAAAGTTTTCCCC